TTGTCCCTCCTACCCCGGCAGAGCATCTAGTGGATTCAAACTGTGTGCCTCTGGGATTGTAGTTGCAGCTCCTTACCACTAGGCCACCAGAGCTTTCCTATATTTAATTTTTTTTTTAAAGAGAGACCTTTATAGTCCAAGAGCACAGAATAAATACTACATTTAAAAAAAAAAATCAATGGACTGTATGGTGTACTTGATTACCAAAACTAATGGACAAATTTAAAAAAAAAAAAAATTATTAACTATTTCGTTTAAGGTAGAGCTTTTAAAAATCTAAATCTAATCACTCTAAGAAGCTGGGTGATGCTGTTTTTAAGGCATTGGGTCACTAACCAAAAGGTCATTCTTTTGCATATCTCAGCGTCCCCAAGGGAAGATGATGTGGCAGTCGGCTTCTGTAAAGATCATAGCTTTGGAAACCCCGTGGGCTGTTTTGCTGCAGCCTGTGTGGTCACCATGCATTGAAATGGCCTTGATGGCAATGGATTTGAGTTCTTCACCCTTACCCTCCTCAGCAAAATAATACCCAGCAGAGAGTCACTGGATGTGTTCCTTGCCTCCTTTCAGGTTCAAGCTGCTGAGTCAAGAAGAGGGCGAGTACTTCAACGTGCCCGTGCCACCAGAAGGAAGCGAGGGCAACGAGGAACTGCGGCAGAAATTTGAGGTGAGGTCCTTTCTAGCTGCATTCCTGGGGGCCACCTGAGGCTGTGGTGATGTTCCTTTCCTGTTTGTGGTGGGACTTGTGACACAGCTCTTCACGACACTGTGCCTTTTGTTCTCCGAAAATTCCTTGTTCATCCTTCCAGCCCTCCCCACCTCCATGAAGTGTTACCTGCCCTGTGACATCCCTCAGTCCCTGTCCTCCGTGATGTCAGCGTTCCTTCACCTCCTGGTCATTTCGGAGGCTGGACTGCAATGATGGGGCAACACAGAAAAGGCAGACAGGTTAGCGATGGATTTTGGAGGCTGCTCCAGCCAGGTTGACTGATGAGTCGAATCTGTGTTTGAATTCGTCAGCAGAATGACGCTAGACTGTTAACAAACGGATTGATTGCACTGGTGACACTCTGAAATACCCCATGGGTGGGGGAGAATTCTATCACATGAACAGACGTTTGTCTCTGGCCCTGGGCTGTATGGCTGGCTCTCCGTCTACCTCAAATGAGCTGCTGTGTGAACAGATAAACACTACTTCAGTGATTAAAATTAGCAGGTGTGCTGTGCGCAGCCCAGTTCTGCACAGAAATTGTTTTGGGGAAGATAGGTTTGAGTGTTTTTCATGACAAATGATTTTAAAGTAGTTTTAGAAAGAAAAAGAAAAAACCAACCAAGAAACCCGCATTATTTTGTTCACACAAACTCAATATGCTGAATCTAGTGGGAAATCATAGACTCTAGATGAGCAATTATGGTCTGTTAACTCTGAAACATGCATAAAATAACACAGCTGAGATGAAATAGATTATTGTTGTTATTCATCACACAATCACACAAGCAAATAAAACAAAACAAAAAGCGAGCCCATGTGAAATGCTCTGAGAGTGGTCCTCTTTGAGAGCATACTCAGGCAGGCAGGCCCTGCTACAGACAGAAAGATGACTTCCACTCGCCCTTCAGTGTTATGTAAATTTGCTCTCCCTTTGAACCAATAGAACCCACCCCTACTGGAAACAAATTCTTCTCTCAGTCACCTTCACTTGTTGCACTTGCAGCTTTTAAATCACCAGAAAGGCTTCACACCTTTTCTTGCACCCAAGTCAGACTAAATAAGGCCTGTGTGCATCTGTCTGACTTACCTACAAATTCTTTAAAGGCACAGTTGGGAATGGATCTTGCCTGTGGCTGGTGATGGCCTGTAATTGGAATTTTCTGTGACCTTTCCTGAGTGGACAAGGGAAGGCAGCTTTGAGAAAACAAGCCTGGGAGTGAGGCCAAGAGGGAGAGAGGATTCACCCTTCAGAGAACAGTCTGTGCAGCTAGCCAGTGCTGGGGAATTTTGCAGCAACGATGTGGACGTGTAAGGTGGCCAGAATGGGTCTACCAGAGGGAACCAGTGAATCGTGGTGTTGCTGCATAGGTGAGAGGGGTGTGAATGGCATCCCCACACATGTCAGAGTGGGGAAAACCAAAATGATGCCAGTGTACAGTGACATCTCTAAGGTTAGCATGACCCATTTTCCAGTGCGTGAACGCATCTCTCTGCCCCCTGAGAGCCAGTCACCTGCCAGTCAGGGCGTGGGCAGGCTGAGAAGATGGCTTCCATCCTGACCGATGAGGAGCTGCAGTCAGAAAGGATGGACCCAGGCTTGGCCGTGCATAGGGGCAGGGGTGGGGATGTGACATGATGAATGACACCAGTCCTAGTGATACCACTGCTAAGGAATGAATTTGACGGAATCATGGAGGAGGAGGTGAGAGGCCGGAGAGCAGGGCCAAGTTTGCTTTCTCAAGGATTTGGGCATTTATCCATTTAGCTCCTTGGTTCAGGAGCTCTGGTGGCTTAGTGACAGAGAAGTTGTGTTGCCAACCCAAAGGTACACAGTTCAAATCCGCTAGCTACTCCACAGAAGGAAGGCGAACAATCTCTTCCTGTGCAATTTATAACCTCTGAAAACCCACTGGAGGGTCAGCAGTGAGTCCATTGCAACTTGATGGTGCATAACAATAGATTGACAAGAATCCCTTGGGTATTCCCAGGGCCCTGGTTCCCAGCTGGTGTCCTCCAGACAGCCTGGAGCAGGGGAGGGCTCTGATCCAGAAAGGTCCCCCTTCCTGAGAATAAGTGGATTGGCCACATTGGCCTTGAATTTATCAGCATTCTCTTGAGAACTCACGTATAGAGGCCCATCCCCTTACTGCACAAAGGCCGAGGTCTCAGTAACTTGCTGGTCTCCATCCGGTAGAACCAAAACCTGGATGCTGCTTGATAAAAAGAAATTAGAACAGAAGGGCAGCCCTTCCAAAGGACACATCCCATCTCTTTCTGAATCTCCCTGATGACGTGGTGTCCTTTTGGTGCTGTGTTTATAAACGTACGAGGGACGTCATGCTTGGGATGGTGGATGGACAGCGCAGGAGAGGAAGACCCTTGATGAGATGGATTGATTCAGTGACTGGGGTAATGGGGGTGGATGTGTCGCAGATGGTGAGATTGGCACAGGATAGGGCAGATTTTTAGGGCTGTTGTACATAGGGTCTCTATGAGTTGCAGGCAGCTTGACAGCACATAACAACAACAACAACATTATGGATGAAAACTGACAGCTAGTGTTTTCTTATATAAAGTGGTGTCTCAGCTTTACAAAACATTTTCTTCTGTCTTAGGGCAGCTGGGGTGGCACATTAGGACATCAGAAAACACTTACACGAATAGAGCATTTGTCTGGCAGTCATTGGCTTGGAATAAAGAATTCTTTTATCTCCATGCACCAAAACGTACACCTATATGCCTAGTGAAAAGTGGGCACATGCTTGTTTATACCCGAATTATAATCACTGCATGCTGTAGTGGTTGATTAGAAAAAAGTGTTTCCAACAGGCCCAACATTGTCCTTAACTTCACTGAGAAATTCTAGTTGACCTTGAATAGGAGAAGTGTAATCTCTGTGCAATAACCAATTAGCACTGGGAATGACTCAGAAATTACTTTCAAGCCTCTTATCTGGAGAAATTTGAGTGAAGGTAAAATTGAGCTGCTTGAGTTGAGTAATAGAATTTCCTGGGAGGGTGAGCTGGGTGCAGTTACCCTGCATGGTTACGTGTCAGAACCTTGGTGCTGGCTTCACCTGGGGCCTTCCCTTCGGGCTGTGGGCTTGCGAGGTGAGTGGGGGCAAAAAAAACACAACAAGACTCCTTTTTAGAAAAGTCAGAGTAAGTTTTCTGACAAACTTGGAGTTTCTTTTCTTAACAAGCTAGTTATTATATGCTGTATGTTCCAGGGGGCTCTGGTGGCTTAGTGGTAAGTAGTTGCACAAAAACCTCAAAGTCAGATGGTTCGAATCCACCAGCTGCTCTGAGGGAGAAAGATAGGCAGTCTCCTCCCATGTGATTTACTGCCTCTGAAAACCTGCTGGAGGGCCAGCTAGCAGTGGGTTCTGGCTCCATGGTTCATAACAGTATTATTTTCCGATTTGAATCCACTGCCAGCTCTGCGGGAGAAATTCCTCCTGTGTGATTTACAGTCTCAGAAGCCCCACTGTAGGGTTAGCTGTGAGTCAGTTCTGACTCGACAGCAATGAGTTTGAGGATTTTTTTTTTATTTACTATTTTAATTGCTTCACTGGAAGGAGGAGTGGCTTCCACTTCCATAATAGCTTGCCTCTGGAAACTCTGGGAACCTGGAGAGAGGATGAAAGGCACCCAAGCGTGGAGGACTCTCCTTCATAGGGTCATTATGAGTCGCCTACGGCTCAACGGCACTTAACAACAACAACAACAATTGCTTTCTAGATATTAGCTTGTTTCATTTAATCCTTATAGACGTAAATGTCAGGTTCTGGTATCGTCTCCAGGCACTCTGGCGGCCTATTCCTTGCTCTGCTGGCATCTATAAAGTGAGCATGGTGAAGATTCGCTGAGGTCTGCATTTAGCAATTGGCGTGTCATAAACAGTCAAACACTCGGCATCAGTCTTGTTATTCTTACCATCGTTGCCATCATCTTAATGGGAGCTTTGATAATGTAGTCTAAACCAAAAGGTGCGTCCTTTCTGGGGATTCACATCTGCCAGTGGCTCCGAGGGAGAAAGATGGACAAACATCTTCCCCTGTGCTATTTACGACCCCTGAAAAGCCACTGGAGGGTCAGCTATGAGTCAGTTCCAATTTAATTGTGGTTGAACTGGGTGAGTGTATAATCATCATGTCCCCTGTTGGATAAATGAGGGTCAAAACTTGCTCCGGGGAGTACCTTTTAGAACTGTTTGTAGGGTAGGGTGACAGGTATTAACTAGAACGTGGGCTAAGCCCTGCATGTTATGGGATGAAATTAGTGTCGTCAAAACCATGTTTTCAGTGGTACACAACAGTAACAAAGCATTTGATAGGGTGGTCTGGGAACGGGGCTCTTACAAAAGGCAAGGACACTGTGGATCAAGAGTCCGTGAGACCTTGCAAGTGCAGAGGGCCAGCCAGGGGTGGATTTCTTACCTTTAAGGAACAGGTGAGGCTGAAGCGTAGTGAATAAGATTACAAGGAAGGAGGTGAAGTCAGGGAGGGAGCAGAGACACCTGTTCACATGGGGGGATGTTTGGGCGGAGGAACACTGTCCAGCTGACTTATTCGCGTCACACAGCTTGTCCATGTCCAAGTCAGATGCCTAGTATTTCACTCCATATGCTTCTCATTGCTAAAGAGCCAGTTCAGTGGCAGAGTTCTGGCGGCCTCAGCTCTTCTCCTCGCTGGGTTTCTTCCTGTGTAAACTCCAGGACCATTTGTCCCTATTCCCAGTCACCAGCCTGTGCCTCACAGCTGTGGCTCCCGCCTCCTTGATGGAGGTGTTAACATTCGTTCCATTTGTTCAACAAATGCTTAAACAGGAATGATGCTCATTGTCAGAGTCCTGGTGACATGGTGAATAATGGGCTCTTCACGGGAAGATTGACAGGTCCAATCTGCCAGCCGTTTCTTGGAATAAAGACGGGACGTCTCCTTCCCTAAAGATATACAGCCTCACAAACCCAGTGGTGCGTTGCCCTGGGTCAGTATCAGCTTGAGGGCAGGGAGTTTGGGTTTGGGTTTGCATTTGTGTGCTCGTTGTCAGAAAAACTGTATCGATGGAGATCAGCTCCCTGGCTTTGCCAGTTAGTCCATTTAGAGGGAGGGAGCAGACAGTTCATCTCCAGTGTAAAAGGAGAGAAAATGAATGAAGAGATCAAAGAGGAAGGACCCCAATAGATAGAGTGGGTCCAAGAAAGTTTCCTTAAGGAAGTGAAGAAAGTGAAATGAAATTAAAGAATGTGGCGAGGACAGCCATCAGGATGGTAGCAGCAGGTGGTACAGAGGCCCTGAGGTTGGGGATGGTGGGATCATTGAATGAAGAGTGAGGCTGGGATGCAGGGAAGAATGATCCAAGATATCAGGCTTTGGAGAAGCAGACAGTGCCACGTGGTACTGGGCCAGTACTCAGCTATTTCTTCTAAAAATAATGGGGTGCAACAGGAGTGTTTGAAGCAGGAGGTGCCTTGGCTGAGTGTAGAAGGGTTAGAAGCTTTCCCTGGCTCAACATGGTACCCTGTGTGGAGGGAGTCAGAGTGAGTCATCCAGGTGAGATGACACCAGGTATATGGGTAGAGAGGGAAGGGAAGGGATGACCTAGAGGTTGTTAGGAAGGAAAATGGACAATTCCTGGTGGTGGAGGAGATATGGGATGGATGGGAGACAGACGGGGTTTCCAAAGAGGATTTTGAGAAGGTAGAGTGACCAAGACGCTTCTCGCTGAGATGAGGACATGAGGCACCATAACTGTATGTGCAGTGTGTATACGTTTCATCCCACAGTTGAACCCTCAAGCCCTAAACGTGTTTCCTGTGTGCTTCCCCCTCCAGAGGGCCAAGATCGGCCAGGGGACCAAGGCTCCAGAAGAGAAGACGACTAACACCATATCCAAGTTTGACAACAATGGCAACAGGGACCGGATGAAACTGACTGATTTCAACTTCCTGATGGTGTTGGGGAAAGGCAGCTTTGGCAAGGTACCGTGTAACTTGGGGCTGCACCCGCTTGGGGAGGCAGACTGGCGAGCAGACACTTTTTCTGATCACATGAGATTGGCATTCTGGGGTGGGTGGATGGGTGGGGTAGTGAAAAGCAGAGCGATCATTTGTGACAAGTGCTGTGTTACAGATAAATGGAGACGGGACTCGGTCAGACTGTGGCAGAAGTAACCTGTCAGCTGAGACTTGAAGGCTGAGCTTGAGACAGCCATGTGTTCAGAAGCTAGGAAAGGATGTTTCAGGCAGAGGGAATAGCAAATGGAAAGGCCCCGAGAGGGACAGGTTTGGTGCATTCTAAGCGCCACCCAAAGGTGTTAGAGCTGAAATATCATGTGCACTGGAAGTTGTGGGTCATTACAGCTAGACAGACAGGTTTTGTGGCACAATGTGTAGCGTGTTGTGCTGGTAGCCAAAAAGCTGTGCCTCTCCAGGGGTTTGAATCTACCAGCAGCTCCTTGGGAGAAAGCTGGGCAGTCTTTCATGAAGACTTATACTGCATGCAAATAGATGAGGGAGAGACTGTTTAAAAGGGATATATGACTAGATACTATTGTTATTACAGGAGTCCAGAACTAAGGTAGCATAGCGGAGTGGACTTGGGGGAAGGGATTAAATAATAATGGAATAATTTTTTCTTTTACTTTTCAAAGAGAAAAGTGAATTGGGGGGAGGGGTGGGCAGGGATAAGAGTGCAACAATGAATGAATGGAAATTAAAAAAAAATTTATAGCCTCAGTGACTCAGTGCAGAAATGCTACAGGTGACCCAATAGGGGTGAGTTTGAGGGGTTTTTTTTGAGGGGCCTGATCACGCAAACCTTTTAGGGCTATGATGAGGAGTTTGGGTTTTATTCAAAGTTGCGTTGGGGAACCATTGAAGGATTTTAAATGGCCAAATGACACAATTGGATTTGCCTCTTGAAAAAGATCACTCTGGCAGCTGAGAATGGAAATGATTCCTTTCAAACAGCAGCTCAGTTGAAGGATGGCTCTGGGACCAGATAGTGACTCTGGATGTTTTTATAGATATCCAGAGACGCCGTTTTACTGAAGCTAAAATTCTCTTCCCGACTTGTTTAGTGTTGTTTCGTGTCTTTTAAATCCCTCTGTGTACCACGAAGTTACCAAGTACACATCTCATACCACAAATTCAGGTGCACAAAAAAAAAACCAACAACAAACACCCACCCCCTTTTTTTTAACCATCCCTTGTAGTATAAGCCCCGAACTTGGGCTTATCCTTGAGTTCCCTGCTTTCCTTCACCGTCCCCCAACTCTCACTGCAGCCGTGAACAATCAGTCTATCCAAACAGATCCTAGCAAATGACCTCATGAGTTCACTTCATCTCCCCCTCTTCACTAACCTAATCCTGGTCTAAACTATACTCTCGCCTGGTTCACTGTATAAGTTCCTGATTGGTTTCCCTGTTTCTCCGCTTGTTACCTCTAATTAACTGACTTTCAATATAGCATGTGGACATTGGAAGCAGGAGTGGCATCCGCTTCATCCACAGCATGCCTCTGGAAATTCTAGGAACTTTGATAAAGTGGCGATAGCTAAGAAAGGCTGCAGGCCTTTTGTTCATAGGGTCGCTAGGAGTCGTGCTCAACTCAATGGCAGTAAGCAACACCACCACCATTAGCTCAAGGTGCTCTTGTTTAAAATCTTTCAATTACAATTAGAAACTTTTTAAAAATTTGTTTTACTGCTTCCGAGGTTCACCAAGCCCTCAGTAGTCTAGGCCTTGTCCTCTGCTCTTCTTCTTTCATCACTCTCTCCTCACCCATCACTGCTCTCTGGCCACAATGGCAGCTCATGGAGGTTTCTAAAATACACAAAGCTCCTTCTATCCTTACAGATTATGTGATGTTGCACGCACCGTTTGGCCTTTGCATGGAAAGTTAACTCTTATAATTCATATCTCAACATTAATGTTCCCTCCTTAGGGGCCTTTGTTGACCACCCCCTTGAAGTAGCCAGTTCCTTTCCCCCACCCCCACTATGTTTTTCTCCCTCAGTATACATCACTAGATGATTGTTGTTACTGTTAAGTGCCGTTGAGTCATAGGCGACTCCTAGCGACCCTGTGAACAAAAGACCTGAACACTTGTAGAACCTTCATCTTTTCTCCAAGTTCATAGAGTTTCCGGAGGCACGCTATTACGGAAGTGGACGCCACTCCTGTGTCCAAGCTTGTTTTAATCTGGGAGCTCCACCAAACACTGTCCACCATGGGTAACCGTTATCACATTTGATGCATCAGTGTCACAGTGTTCAGCAACCATGAGTTACCTCTGTACAGCAATGCACAGACCAGTGCTATGCCACTTAGAATTATATCTTTATTGGTTTGTCCCTTCTCTTCCTCCAGTAACGAAGCTCCACAAAAGTGGGGACCTTCTCTGCTACATTTAACACTATTTCCAGGGCCTATGGATTGAATTCATTCAGAGCCTACATTAAATGCATGGATGTTTCTCTGTGTAAATGGTTAAGTGCTCCACTGTTAACCACAAGGTCGGTGGTTCAAACTCGCCAGCCACTGTAGGGAGAAAGATGCAACAGTCTGCTTCCACATACAACCTTGGAAACTCTGTGGGCCAGGTCTATTTTGTCCTCCAGGGTCACTGTGACTCAGAATTGACTAAATGGCAATTCCTAGTGGCATGATCATCTGCTAAAATGGAATAAAGGATTCGAGGTGGTACACAAGATTTGAAGAACCTCGGAATAGAGACTTTTTACTTAGTGGTAAGAAGCTGTACTGCAGTTAGTTCAGTTCAGTTATTTTCTGAAGTAACATAGTTTGAATCCACCAGCTGCTCCATGGGAGAAGGATGGACAATCTCCCCCCATGTGTTTAACCGCCCCTGAAAACCCACTGGAGGGTCAGCTATGAGTCAGTTCCAGCTTATAGCAAACAGCAATGACAGCAGCCTGGAGTAAGAACAGGGAGTAAGAATACCCAGTAAGATTGAGGAGCAGCCCAGTTGTATATAAGGTCAGGTAACAAGCAGTTGGCAATTGTTATGGTCCATATCGTCGTCTGACTTTTGCCAGGAGCTCTGAGTGTGGATGAGGAGAAGCAGATGGTGGACTTGTGCTAAGAGGAGACCGGCAAGATTGGAGAACTACAAGGTTGTGGTCACAGAAGAGTCAGGGATTCTGGAAAAGGAAATGTTCCTTGTAGATCTGCAGAACCTGCCTGTAAGACATGCTCAGTAAAGTATGTTGAATAAATGAATGAAAATGATGTCTTGACTGGGTTGGGAAAGAAGGCCAGGCAGGAAGAAGGTCCCTGCTTGAATGGGGAAGAAAGGCTCCAGAGCTTAAGTTTGAAAAATGTATTGGCCAAGTCAAGTCAAGGCATTTAAAATTATAAGCAAAAATAAGGGCATTTAGATTTCAATGGTGAAACCATTTCCATGATGACCATGAAGAAAGTGGCCTCAATTATATTCTAATCAACTGAGGCTGTTGAGATGCTTTTAAAAATTAAATTATCATGCACACTTTTGGTTATTGCTGCTTTGTTCATAATAGCAAAGAGTTGGAAAAAACCCAAATGCCCATCAACAAACAGATGGATAGAGAAACTGTGGTATGTTCACACATACTATGCAGCTTTGAAAAACAAGGAACTTGTGAAATATTATTCAAAATGGGTGACCTGGAGGACATTATGCTGAGTCAAGTATCTCAGTCACAAAAAGGCAAATACTGCATAATGCCACTATTATAGAACAGGACTGACATTGGGTTTGGGGGGAAACTAAGAAAAAAGGGGATAAATAATAAGAACTGCATTGAAACAGATGAGGCAAAGAACTGTTTAAAAGGGACATATGATTAGGTATTAGTTGCATGACAAGAGTCCAGAAAAAGAGCTGCATAGTAAAGTGGACTGGTGGAGACGAGGGGGATTGTATAAAAATGAAAGAATTTTTTTTTCTTCTCACAGAGAAAAGCAAACTGGGTGAGGGAGAGGAGTGGGCAAGGAGGAAAATGTGCAGCAATGAATGAATGGAAATCTAAATTCTCTATCATCTTTCATTAATAAGCAATGAATGCACATGGCTCATAAATCAAAATTATACCAAAAAAATAAACATTGGTAAGAAACTGCACTGCAGTCCCAAAGGCACATGGTTCGAATCCACCAGCTGCTCCACAGGAAAAGCATAGGCAGTCTTCTGCTGTGTGATTCAGCTGCCTCTGGGAGCCCTCTGGAGGGTAAGCTATGAGTTGGTTCCAATTCAACAGCACACAACAACAACAACAGGAAGAGTAAACATTGAAAATCTCAATCCCACCCAGGTTCGCATTGTTCTTTGTCTCCTCACTGCTCCTGTCCTCCAAATGTGAACCATTTTTAAAATGTCATTTGCCCCCCCCACCCCAGTTTCTTTTTGCTCGTGTAAAATGAACAGATCCACAGTTTTATTCTCATCCTTCCTTGCCTCTAACCCTTGGCATACTGTGCACTTGGGTCTGTACCTTTTTGATTACCTAACAGTATATGTCGGAGAGATTTTTGATCAGGGAATGGAAAGTCCAGAGAGTCTTATTGAAAGGACTGGGGCAGAGATAGGTGGAGTAGTTGGGGAATGAGTCACAGCGGATCAGTGAGCAAATGAGAGATAATAGATCATATGTTTCCATGGAAATAGTTATAATAATTGAGAGCTCTGTCCCAGACTAGGGATATGGCATCAAATCAATCATAGATGAAAACAGCAGCATGTCATAAAAGCAAAATAGGGTACCAAACCCCTCTATGATCCTTTACAAAATATAGAAATCCTTTGCAAGTCTAGTTTTGCCAACTGTAATTTTAAATTAATGTGACTTTATATTTGCATGTTGCCTTCTTGTTAGACATATATCAACATACACCCCTTAACCCCCAGAAGGAGAATATAACACTGTTGATGGTCATGCTCACTCTGGAGATGAAAGAGAAAAGCCTTTGAGGCAGA